AACTCACACTTTTTAAAAAAGGAATAAATAAAGAACATGACCTTAGGGGACATGACCTCAACTGGCTACTGATGGGTAAATGGGACTTGGCCAGTTAGTGGGGACAATGTGAACTACACTCCCTGACAGGGACAAAATTGATAACATCAGTATCAACATTCATTATCCTCATCGTTATTCATGCCATTTATCGAGCACTTACTATATGCGAGGTGCATAAAATATGTCATTTAATTGTCATAATAGTTCTGGGAGTAGGTGCTGTTGTTAGCCACATTTGACAGATGAGGAAACTAAGACTCAGAGAAGTTAAATAACTTGCCTGAAATAATACTGCTTATAACTGATACAAACTGGATCCAAAGCTACCATTCAATATGGAATGAAGCAAAGCTCTTTTAGAATAAGTAGAGTGGGGTCATAGAAAGTACAGTGTTAAGTTATAAGTAGATTGATGATGAGATGATGAAAACAAAACTTGTAAATTTCATTTCCAAAATTGGCATGGCCTTGTGATTTTTCACTTATCCTCCCCACAAAGAACCTCTGCCTAAGCTATCCCTTAGTCTCAAGCATTTCCCGGCACAGTGCCAGTGTGCTGCAACACCACCCTTTAAAAGAGACCTTACAGGACTTCACCTGACCTCTTGGCCTTCAGTTTCCATATGAAAACTGGGGAATCTTGCGGCTCAGAAGCACTGACAGATGAATTGTCTGGTCATGTTTCCTGGGTTTGGGAGACATTCCACTGAACATTGTAGAAGTGGATTTTAGCAAGGTCCAGGAACTCTTCATCTTTAAGTTTTCTAGCCCAGAAGATCATGGTACTAATCCATCACAAGGCTTTGTGCACTCATCTGATCATGCCAGTGCAAAGTGTGTGTTTGGTGGGCTCATGTCTGTGTGAGGGCAGAAGAGAAAGGAGCTCTTGTTTACTGAATCCCAGTTATGAGAAGCATGTTGTTTGTAAAGACAGTAGATGCAACAGACATTTGAGTTGTCTTCCTGTCCCTTACTGGTTGTATAAAACCTGTTTCTGTGTTATTTCCTTTCTTTCGTTCTTTCCACACTTCTGCCTTGAACATCTGCAATGTGCCAAGTGCAAACATAGAGGAACATAAGCCCATCTTCATTTTTACAGATGAGGAAACTGCATCCCTAAGAGACTTGGCAGTTTGTACATGTTCACACAACATGTGAACAGCAAAGCAGGAATGTGGGCCCAGATTTCCATAGACTCTATGTTTTTAACCAGAAACTCTACTGATTTTTGTAAACCTGAAAGCATTCTACTGATAGAAGGTATTATTGTGCAGATGTGTTAATAATATTTTTTTCTTTTCCTTTGTCTTTCTCTTTCTTTTACTCCTCTTCCCTTTTCCTCTTTCCCTCTTTTGCCTCCTCCTTTCTTTCTCTCTTTTTTATTGTTTTTTTTTCTATAGGACTCCACAGAATGGAGCAAGAATGAGAGGAAAAAGGCCGGCAGAAAAGCATGAACTGGAGGTTTGTTGAGCTCCTCTACTTCCTGTTTATATGGGGCCGTATCTCAGTGCAGCCCTCCCACCAGGAACCAGCTGGGACAGACCAACATGTCTCCAAGGAATTTGATTGGCTCATTTCAGACAGGGGGCCTTTCCACCACTCCAGGAGCTACCTATCCTTTGTGGAAAGACACCGTCAAGGATTTACAACCAGATATAAAATATACAGGTAAGATCTGGGCTATGATAGCCCTTGCCTTTCATTTATATTGTGCTTTGTCGGGTCAGGCATTGGCATAGCCCTTGCTGGAGGGAGAAATGTCTGAGTCAAGAGATCCTGTCTCTTCCGCAAGCTGTTTTCCACTTTCAATATTTTTTATTTTGCACAAGAAATTGACAATTACAAAGAGAAGATCAAATAGCTAATATTTGCGTACTTACTGTGTGCTGGGCATGGTGCTTGATACTTATTTTACATTATCTCATTACACATTTGAATAACCATCAGATGTAGGTTTTATTTGTTTTCTCCACTTTGTACATTAGGTGATTGAGCCTCGTCCAGGTTAAATAGCTTCTCTAATGTCAAGAGTGATTTGACTGGGATTCAAAATCTGGTTTATTGGCATCCATAGACTAATAATCGGCATCCATAGACTAATAATTATAGTCAACCACATGAGGTGTAAGCAGGATTACTTTGCAAATGCTACTAATGTACCCCATATCCTACCCAAACCTATTTACACATTTGGAAAAAAAGTAGGGTCACTCAATGAACAACCTTTTCTTGAGTAGTTCCGTGCTGGTTCTTAGCCTATTGAAATCCCACTCATCCAAAATGGGCTTAGCCCAAAGTTCTTTCGTCTTTGAAACTATCTTAGGTCCTCCACATTCCACTTAATCACTGTCTTCTTGACATGCCCACAGCTTTCTACACTTGTGTCTCTTTCATTTTAAGCCATTTGGAACTAGAGTGCTTTCTTGTATTTTTTTCTCACCTAAGTGGAAACTTTTTGAGGGAAGGGCTTATATATAGAATTCATTTCTGGATCCCCTAAGTGATTTTTGTTCAGCCTTGTTGTTATCATAAGTGCACAATGGATGTTGTGGACTCGAATTGGAGAATGCAAAAAAACTCTCTCAGTTGTAGTCTTTGCCTTAAAGTCAAGGAAGGAAGGGCAAGTCCTAACACTTCTGGACCAATTAGAAAAAGAGAGCCAGAAAACGGAGCATGGGAAAGAACCCCGGCCTGCAACAGAGAAGGCATGAATTCAAATCTTTAATCTTCTACGTAGTCGATATGAAAAATTGGCATGTCTTGCTTGCACATTTTGTGGTATTGTAGACTAAGGATAAGTGATTTCTGAAATCCCTACCAGCTGTGACTGCCTGTGACTCTATACTAAATATTCAAATTCTGTTTGAAAGTTGGCTCGCTAGTGACTGAGGTCTTACAGCGGTTCTGCCTACGCAAGAGTTTGTGGCTGAACTTTCTGTGAGCCTTGAGGAGTGGTACAAAATCACAGAGTTATTGGGGAAAGGTGCTTCTGGGCATGATGAAATGCAGGAATACAAAGGAAAATGAATATAGTATGTGTACAAGAAGGAAAAAAAAGCAAAGAGATGAGAAATATTGGGTGTTTCTTCCCTCAAAAGAGAAGAATATCAGAATTTCAAAAATATAATTAATTATTAATTCAAAGGGCTGCTAACCTTTGGGAGGAGTATTCCTAAATCACCCACAGGCAGAAGTTACCTACTTAATTCCTAATTTGGATTCTTAATATAGTTTTTGGCAGCATATAGCCATTGCTCTTTGTGATTATGCATAAGTCGAATATAGGTGCTCACTGACTATTTGACAGAACGTGCCGCTATCTGAAATTCCTGGTACTGTGCAAGATACAGGATTGGGACATTGGGTTTAGGAGAACAGAAGTGTTAGAGATCTAATATCTTATTCTGTTTGTGTTTTGTCAGATAATAACAACCTCTTGGTATGACTTTGCCTTCCATTTAAAACTCCTAAGGACACTTTAAGGTTGGGGCGACTGGGATTTATATTTCCATTCTAAAGAAGAGAAGATGAGTGACTTGAATAAAGTCATGTAGCCAAGAAAAGGTGGTGCCTGGACTGGAGACAAAGTATGACTCTAAGTCCCTAACCACGCTGATGAATATGCTGAAATTAGAGGCATCCATTTTTTGTTTTTAAATGTTTATTAGCAAGTATTGTATGCCTCATCCAATGCTAGACACGGAAGATAAGAGGGCCTGAGGACAAATAATCATAATATCACATGGTGGTGGCTATCATGCAGTATTATAAGAGATGCTATGGCCCATGTGAGATACTCAATGCATGTTTGTTATTACTGTTGAAATAACTTAAACAGGTACTCTGAATAGTACCATAGCTGCCGAACGCTCAACAGTAGCATCCTTTCAGTGGGCACTTATAATGTGCCATGAAGGGAGGACATCTGGTCCTCATAAGACCCTCTGTGAGGTGGGCAGTACCTTTTACAAATGAGAAAACCAGTATCTGGGGAGGGTGAGTGCATTGCCATAGGTCATCCACCTGGTAAGGAGTAGAGCTGGGGTCCAGACACTGACCTACCTGACCCCAAAGCCCTCCTTTCACCCACCGTGTTGAATGCCTCCCCCCAATCTGGCTTCCCAATGTAGAGTGTTTCAGAGCTCTGAAAACGTTCTTCCAAACATTCTTTCTTACAACCACTTTATAAATATTTGGAGGGAAGCTTTAGAGTTGTTGAGAGGTAAAAAGTTGCTAATGAGGTTGGGAGTCAGGACAACTGGATACTAATTCCAGTTCTTCATGCACTGGTCTTGTGACATTCGGTAAGCTCCCTCCTCTCCTGGATCCTGCTTTCCTCTTTCATCAAATGATACGGTTGATGTGGATCAGTGGTTTTCACCTATGCTATTTGAAATCCTGAGGATTAATTAAAGTAGCCATAGAAACCACTCTAGGCTGGAGAGAGAGGCAAAGGGGGTGATCAGGCAGGGTTCCCCGGCTGACACCTCCCTTACACAAGAGGAGATTTGCATCTGCTTTTGTGTTCAGATTTCACACGCTTTACTTTGGATTCTACTACTAAAACAAAGTTTGCAATCATCCAGCAAGCTGATTTCTAAGATCCTTTCTAGCCCCAAAATTAAGTATGAGATTTAACCAAGGTCACATGGTTAATTAAATGACGGAGTTCAACCCACAAGTCAGGCCCCTGGCCATCTAATTATTCCTTCCTTCCTTTATTTAATCCTCAAATAATTATTAAGCACAAGCTGCAGACTGAACGCTGTGTTTAGGGCAGATGATACAATGATGAGTAAAACAAACATGGTCCTTGCTCTCATGGGAGAGACTGACATTAATTAAACACAAGCATGCACACACACATAAACACACACTTATATGTATAATAACTGCTAGAAAGAAAAGACAATAGGAAAGGTATAACTGGGAGATGATAAATACCACAAACATAGATTTTGCACCTACAATGCGTGAGGATTAGGTCGGGTTCTTGTCATAATCTGCACATGGAAACACATGCAAGTGGGTACCCAGACACATGTACCCATCCAGTTACAGACCAGATAAGAAGCCAGCTAGGATGTGCTCATTGGGGAACTTGTCCATTGACACGTTTTCCTCTCTGCTTGCCACTTTTTTTTAAACACTAAAGCATGTCCACAGGCAATTTCGAGTGCGTCTGTCTTGTCGTATG